AAAAAAAAAAAAAAAAAAAAAAAACAAAGAGAACGCGCCTATGAAAAGAATTGAAGAACTTTCCTTTCTCTTCATTTATCAATTTACAAGTGTAATCGCAAGTGTGAAATCTCGTTCCGTTGATAATTGAACCTCGCAAATTTTTCTTCTCGTCTTCCGCCATTTCAACTAAAAATAATGAGATATTCGATCTGCGATTCTACTTTTCTACGTTTCGGTTTTATCTGTTTAATTAATCTTCGACACTCGTAGAAGTCGGTTACAAAAGTCTGTCAGAAAAGTATTTACATTTGCAAATTTCTAATATTTTGAAGAGAAAACGAAATTTTATAGGCATTGAGATTTATTTGTTCATTAATTTTGTACAAATTTTGAACAAGTGACGATTTGCTTACAGGAAAATATGAGTAAGTTGGAAGAAAAGATACACAGTTATCCACGAGTACATTGAAAAACATAAAATGTGTCATTATTCTAATTATAATAAAAGTAAATTGTATTTGCTTTGTTGTATGGGTTTTTGTAAGATTCGAAATTTTCGAAATTTTGTTTGTGATAAATGTAAGAATAGATAGAAATGATGCAATTTCGACTATATTATATTAATTTTTGTAAGAATATTTTAGTTATTTTATTTTAGAAGTGATTCGATTTTAACTATCAAGTTAATTAAGATTCATAAAATATTTAAAACGTTTTTCTTTTCTAAATATTTGGAATTTGATGCAAACCTCTGTACTCTGCGTACATTTTTTTAAAAATTTGAAATATTTCCAGAGATTTTTTGCCTTCAATAATATTTCTGATTTCAAATACTAATTTCATATTAATTAAATTTAAAGAAAGAAGTGGTAAATATGAGATGAAATTTGGATCGTTAAATCTAGTAAAAAAATAAATTTAAGGTTATTGATATTTACTTAGATATCAATAATTACGATTTATGTTTTTCTTATCATTGACGAAATGAAATAAAATGTTTCACGAGAGAGAACCATCTCGCACAAATGAATTAATATTACAAATATTACAATAGACATTCGAAATGAATTCTCGTACATAACATTATTTTTAATTACTGCAAATTTTTATACATTCATGGAAAATTTTAATACCTATGTGAAATGCAGAAAATACAAATTCTCATAATTCTGAGTTTGTTTTTACCTCGTACAATGGATGGAAAGATGTGAATATTTTCGAAAACTGTAAAAATTCAAACGTCTCCAAAATCATTGAAAAATTTTTCCTTAGGACTAAAAGTTACCATTATCTGCAAAAATTAAAATTTTCTCTTTACAATAGTCTCCTTTTTTTTAATTGAACTTTAAATATAACGGTTTAACGATAAAATTCGACAAAAATTCAAGAAATTTTATATTTCGTCTAATCCTAATTTTCAGAGTTTCGATAGAATAACGGAAGAAAAATCGTTGTAGACGGAAGACTTTAATCTCGATGAGATCATGGTGAATCTGTCCCCGAGGAAAAAATGTTTCAACGATTTTAAGAGACAGTTATTTTCACTAAATTAAACAATTTAAAATATCTGATGATTTTATCCATGGATCTAGTGGACACATTCGTGCGCCAGTGTACAATTGCCACGTATAGTTTAGTCAACGTAGGTTCATTTCAGAACCATAGACAACTAATTTGATTATTAATTTACAAGACCAGTTCGATCGATGAATATTAATAAACTGTCGATTATTTATACCCATGGTTGATTAAACAATGAACGTGGTATATCGGGGGCAAAATTGCGGGACCAGCAATGGCACGCAAATTAGTGGGAATTTTCAATGGCGTTTGCGGTCGGGTCAGTTGTCTATATTAATGTTAGCAAACCGAGTGAAATTTTGCACGAAAACGAGCACCGATATAGAATTTCGCGAACCGTGTATGATATGATTCCGTGAATTACGATCCTGTTGCATTGGACAAACTTGTCGATGAAACTCGCCGACGACGTTTTATTGAATAATAATCCAACGTTCGGGCTCTCTCCACCCCTTGTTCGTTTGTTCTTCGTTAATTTCCAAACGTAATTCACTCCCGCCAGGATTAATATTCACATTAAAGTTTTAATTGGAACGATCCTGATGCGTTTACACCGAGGATTTTTCTTTGCGCGAACG